TTGGGGGCTGACAGACCATTATTAACTGATATCATCTCCACAGACTATGGAAGAGAAAATTCAGCCATAATGCTAATCTCTGAAAACACTAGTCTTTATCTGTGAACAGAGGGAAAATCTGTTGGTTCTTAGCTCTCCTTTAGTCATACATTGGTCACTTGGGCCTGGTTGGCAGTTTCCCTTTTGTATTTATATATATATATAATGAGTCACAAAGTTTTACTGATCCTTCCTTTGTGAGGACTCATTCCATCCCTTCCTTTCCATTCACTCTGCCATCACTCTAAGGAGGTAGGAATGAAAAGGCTGGGACAGATAGGCTGTCGACAGAATAAAGGAGTTGGTGACTGTGAGAAGAAAGCAGGGAGGATTCCACTGAGGTCGAGTAGCATGGATTTATAACAGGCCCGTTGGACTTGGTGTCAAGACAGTCCTTCGGAATAGACAAAGTAAGTCTCCTCACACACTACTGCCGCTCTGTCTTTATGTGTTAACACCCTTATGAAATTGCATACACATTAAAGGCCAGGATCATGGCTTACTTCTTATCACCCTTACATCTTCACTGCCAGCACAGAGCCTAGTGGGAACAGAGTAATCTATTCTCCTGTATGTTTTTTTCCCATCCATATAGAGAATATTTAGGACCATCACAGATATTTAAGATTTTTAGTTATACCATTATCAGCAGGTAGAAACTCTGTTATCTCTCTTCCTATTTTGTTTTTCCAATTCTTTCACTGTGACATAGAACTAGGGAGACCAGGTGGCTGGGTTTTCTCTGGATAGTCCCTATGTAGATCTGTTCTCCCAATACAGTTACTAACAATACCTTTCTTCACTCTCAAAGCTGTGTACAGTAGATTCTATGGTGACTTACAGAGTCATATATATGTATAGAAAAGTGCTAAATATGTATTAGTCTTTTAACTGTAAGTATAAAGAGCACACTTCTGTAACTACTACCCTAGCCAAGAAGTGGAACACTGCCAGCCGCTGGAAGTCTGTTTTCCAATCACAACTCTCTCTTCCTTAGAGTTAACTACTGTCCTGCTTTTAATGATAACCATTTTCCCACTTTGTAAACTAATGAAAGCTAAATTATTAAAGCCAGAAATGGCCTACATGATTTCCTTCCAATGATTATTCTTTTATTTATTTTATATACTTTAAGTGTGGGTAATTTCATATTTATGTTACTAATAGATATCTTTGATAGTATATTTATAATTTAATATATGACTACATGGTTGTAAGTAATCATTCTGAAGATAAAGGTTGTGTTTTTATTATTTATCTTTTGCCCTCAGATTTAATGGGCAAGACACAACTCTTGGCCTCAGGAATTTGATTATCTAATAAGCAATTACAATACAAACCGTTCAGTGCAAAAATGAGAACATGCACAGGATGTGGTTGTGGGACATTACTTAGCCTTGGGGATGATAGGGAGAATGTTCCCTCGAAGGTGATGTTTCATTTGAGTCCTGGAGATAAGTAGGAATTATGTGGGTGAAGGTGGTGGGTAAAGTAAAGGCAGAGCACACACAGGTCAGTTTCCAAACAACACCAACAAGAATAGCCCAGAGATAAGAAAAGTATGGTGCAGTTAGACTACTGCAAGTTGTTCTCTGCAATTGGAACACAGAGAGTGTTCTCTGTAGTCTCTCATGGTGGAAAAAGGGTGTCTTTTGGATCATTGTATTTTGCAGATACATTTCAAGCCAGAAGCCAGATCATATAAGACCTCAGTGTCAAGCTGTTTGAATGTGATGTTGAGAGAAATAAAAACACTCTGCAGGGTTCTAAGGAGGGAGTGGGTCATAGGGTGACATGATCACATCTGCATCTTTGAAAAGTTGTGCTCACTACAAAGTTAGAGAATTTAAACGGGCAACCCTAGAGGCAGAGAAACTGGGCCGGAGATCATTGTAGTCACCTACTTGCAAAAGGCTGGTGGCTCAAGCTTAGCCAGAGGAAATGAGAATGGAGAGAAGTGCATGGCTTTAAGAGACAGTTGGAGACAGAATCAACAGGATTTTAATAATTGATGATATACGGAATTTGAGGAAGAGAGAAATAAAAAATGATACTTAGATTTCAGCCGGAGGTGGGAAGCAAAGAATGACACAGGTTTATAGAGGACGTTTTTAGCAGTGTTGAATTTGGTTGAGTTTAAAGTGTCTGTAGGGCATTTGAAAGGATATAACCTTGAGTCTGGAGCTCAGGAGAATAATTTAGGGCAGAGATAGACATTAGGAAACAATAGGTTTTAGGTGGCAAGAGAAGCCATTCATATGGACCCTAATATGATATTAAAATTTCTGAGATGGAAATTGTGAAAAACTGTGTTCATTATCTAGTACCATAACATTCTTAGAGAATCAGTTTTCTGGCATTAAAGCTTCCAATTTCATGATCTGTTTTAGTTTTTAGCAGTTTGGGTTTTTTTAGCTCTTTGGTTGTTGTGTTTTTTTCCCCATTCACATTAACCAGATTTTAGCTTTAACTACAAATGTATCAGCTACAGAGATAAATACAATAAAATGAGGTTATTCTAGAACTTTTGGAATTAAAGCAACATTCATACATTTATTAAGATTTAGCAAGTTAGGAGAAATGTAAAAGGTCTCGAGTTTATATGTTTAGATTTCTCCCAGTTCTAGAAATAAAATATATATGGAAAATGCTTTTAGACAAAAATGTATTTTTAAATAATGTAATAGAAAATATTTGTTGTTAACTTTTCTGCTTATTTTCAGCTTACGGAGATATTTAAAATTTTATAAATCAAATAATTTAGATGTATGTGTACTATAAGTATTTTCAGATATACATATAGAAAATGTATCTGATTTTTCTTAATATTATACTTTTTTATCATAAAATCACTGTAACTTTTTGCTATGCAATTTTAATATACTTAGATATATTTTACTGTCTCAAATATACCCAGAATAGGCAATTTCCCCTCAAGAAGGTGCTTATTTTAAACATTTTGTTCCAGAAGATGATAGTAGCAGTTAAGTATAGCTGTAATTTACTAATGATTTAATACTAATTTATTCCCTAATTTGAATTTTCAGCGTCGTACTTTTGTATGATTTTAATTTGGAATGAGCTATAACTATCTTATTTCTTATGCTATGTAAGCAAGCATATAATTTAATTTTTGATTACGATGATAATAATTAGATACAGTACATAATATATGATATTTGTTTTCTTTATAGGAAAATGGTTCTCCTGAAGAACATGCACTCTATGTGTGGGACCATTTCATAGCCCAGTCTGCAGCTGAAAATGTATTTTTTGTTGCTCACAGCTATGGAGGACTTGCATTTGTTGAACTGGTAAGTGCACATTTCACTTTGTTTTTAATTCCAAACTCCTTACAGGTTTATCCCCTCCAGTTCCTTTTTCTTGGTATCATTACTTTAAATTATTTTATAAAAGGTGAAAATTAAGTAGTTTGAGTAAATAATCTTACATGACTTAAAAGGAGTATGCTGCTTTACTTTATTCTGGCAGAGCTTTTCAGTGTTCCCCAGGAAGCCTTTTGCCTGTTCCTTATTGACATATTACTTTTTAATTTCTACCTCATAGCCCCACTTTCCATACATTTTATGATATTTGTGATTCCTGTATTGTGTGTACACTGTTGAAGCATGTATTACCTGTAGAGTGTTTAAAATTTCAAGAGACCCTTTGAATGTTCGAGAATATCTTGATAATCTTTTACTGACAAAACTGTACTATGTCTACAAGTTAGTACTTGATCGGAATCTATGTAATTAGTATTAAAACTATCAGAAAGCTTCCATTAATCTCCTTCTAAGTGGAACTCATTGCTTGGTCATAAAAATCTTTGCATTTCAAAATAATCTGACTTCTTTTAGGGTTAAGATTATGTGTATAGGATAGAAAAAATTACCAAGATTTTTCAATTTTGTCTGTATTATATACAGTATTACAATTATCATATCTTATGCTGGCATGAATAATTAATGAGATATAATCAATACTTAAAGTGTGCTCTGTATCCATTACCCCTTATGTCACAGGAAGGTACCAGTGCTATAATAAAGTGATTAATTGGGTAAAAGTGCATTTGATCATTTTAAATTTGAATAGCCTAAAGTGGACATTAAAAGCAGGCACAGCATTGGTTGTCCAACTTTTATGTTTCTAAACTTTGCTGTGTGCTTCTCTTCGTCATGGAAATTAAGTATATTTCTGTTGCCTTTTCAGCATCTCCACACCTTACTGCTTACCCACGTGATTTAGATATAAAGTTGGTAGTGACAACTGAATACTTTAGCTGACCTAAATTTACAAATTAAGGTCAGTAAATAAGCTAAATCATTTATTTCTTAATTTCTAAAAAATAAAATGAATTTAAAGTACGTTTAACTCTGCTGAATTTTTTAATATATAATGGATATCTTAAGATAGCTCTCTAATGTTCTAGTGTGATGCATCTTTTTACATGTGACTTATGTCTTTCAAATACGTCTTTCAACCACACAGATATAGATATATACAAACATACATATATGTGTCTTATATATATGTAGCTTATGCTTTCTTTTTATAAGCCATTAAGTTACTTAAAACATGAAATTTCATTAATTTCTAGAATACCTTAAAATATGTCTGAAGGCCTGCAAGACCATTCAAATTTCAGATTTCTGTAAAACATAAATTTTCATTTTTTTTGCTTTGATAGTTAACAAACATCTTTTGGACTTCAAATTTGGAATTTAAGTGAGTTTTGGGCAGTGTCAAAAATGAACTTAAGATGCCAGAGTAACAGATGACCAGTGTGTCAATCCTATTTTGCCTGTCCTTCTTGTCACACACTGGTGGATATTTCTCCACTTTTGTTCCACTTTAATATAAAGCACACAGATGTTTCAGAACAAGACTTGACTTCTGACCTTGAGGCTATTAGGGTCAGGGTCCTCAGGGCCTGTGAAATTATCACAAGCTGAGCTAAAGTTTTTCTCCATCACAGGAAGTAACCAGTAAGTAAGAAGTTAAAAAGGAGCTTTGTCAGAGAGACAAGATGGTCTCAGTAAGGGTCAGCTTCTGTAGTCTGCTGTCTCTGCAGGAGGTGCATGCATGGGAGGAGGAATATAATATAACCACTGGCACGTCACATATGTGTCAGGCAACACCAGGACTGAGAAGTCTATTTAATGTAATATACCTTGTTTGGGTTTCAAAATATTAACGGCAATTATCTCAACTTCATATATTTGCTACTTTTTGTTAGGTAACTTTGATTCGAGTATGTAAAGGGGGCATACAGATGGTGGCAACTAAAGAAAAAGGAGTTTATGACCTATTGAAAAGTATTCCTCTAAACAGATAACACTGTACACTGATAAGTTTTACATACATTTTTGACAAAGCTTGATTAATATATTTAAGGCCATTATGTTTCTACTTAATTTCAGAAAGATTTTTAAAATATAGCTTTGATTAAACAACAGAAAAAACATTGAAATATGTTTAAACTTTTTGCTTTACCCTAAAGCTGAATAATATTCTTTTCTAGTCTTCTCAATGTTCTTAGGGGAAAAGTCATGGTGTTTAAAATGTTGACAAATATTCATTCTCTCAGGATATTTCAACATAGGTATATTATATGAAATTGTTTTATGTGGATTCAAAATTTTAATATTAACTTGTAAGAAAGTAAATTATGAACATCCTAACTTATGGTTTAGTCTTTTTGTCTCATCAGGGATGTGTATAATCTTTGTATTTTAGTCAATTTTAACTTTTTAAAAATTATCATAAAGTTATACTCCTGATTAAAGATTCTCTCTACACACACACACACACACACACACACACACACACACCCGCCTTATAGATAGAATAGTTCTAATTTGTAGCATCATGTTAAAATACATGGAGATTGCTTTTCTATAATTCTCATTCAATTTTACATTCTTTTTTTAGGCCATAAATTTTAAGACAATTTATTTTAAATGTAAATTGTGTGGCTAGTACAGTTTCAATATTACATGTAATTACTTACAGTGCTTATTGTTTAAAAACAGGTATCAGTCAGGACCTATGCTAAAATGTATCTTGCCATTTATAAAATTTAAAATTATGTATAATTGTAGTTTAAAATTAAAGGTACTACTAATAGATATCTGAAAAATTACTTTTAAATTTAGAGCACAAAGCAGTTGTAGAGCTTTCATATTTTGCTAATTGTTGTTTTTGTAAATGGAAAACATAATTTATGATTATATCCTATCTTGAAGTGTTGAATTCCTCCTGAAGAGTACATTGTAGTTAAGAGACTTATTTTCAAAACCAGTGTTCATTTTATGGTAGTAAATGAACCTGATCATGTCCAGACTCATAAAAACAGTATACAGTTGACTATAATAATGAGAAAAGTGATACTAAAAATATGCCTTTCATTGCTTCGATTCTCATCATATGTTAACAACTCGAGTTTCTAATTCTCTAGGCTTTCTGTGATCCTAGTAAAAATAGATGTTGATAAGACAGCTCTGGTAACAATTCCAACATTCAGTCATTAAAGCAAAAGGGAAGAACTATTTATTTTATGAAACGATAATGAATTTTAAAAGTAGTATATCTATCTTATGTTAGCTTTTCTGTATATTTAAAATAATGCCAATATGTAAAGTTACTGTTATTAAACCATCATTTACAAAGCCTTACATTTCTAAGAAATTCTGTTTTCTATATGATAGAATTAGTAGTCATAATTATAGTCATTTACCAAATTCATTTAGAAAGCTAAGTAGTGCAGCTTACTTTTTGCCTCATATTAGTTGTTACAAATTTAAACTCATTTGCTGGAAATTAACTGTCATTAAAAAAGAATGCAGTTTTTAAGCTTTTTCATCATCTCTTTCACCAGCCACTTTATGAAGTGACTCCAATGCTTCCATTGTTGGTCATTTCAGAGTGCCTTTGCTCTAGTCTTTCTAGATGATGATTAGTTTGAGAAAATCATGCAAGCTTAGGATTTTCTTTTATTTGGAAATGAGTTAGCTTTCCTTGTCAATGCCTTCCAATCTCAACTCACCTTATCTTCCCTGTTTGCAGTGCTCGATACATCAATTTGCATTCAGATTTCTTTCCTTAGTCAAAGTGAGAGGATTGATATTTTTTATAGAACACAGCAATTCTAGCAAATATATTTCATTAGCTTATTGAATCATCTTAGCTGACATAAAATTAGTATTTTTCTTATTACTTTTATTTCCTTTTCCAAGTTATTAGTGGTATGTTCACAGCCATCGTTAAAAACATCTCTTAGAAATGTGTGAAAACTGTTCCTTTTGAAAGTGTATCTCTACCCACTTTTGATTTTGGTTTCTCCATGCTTGTCAGCACTTGATTGGCACCTCACTTGCATGTGAATTAAGGAACGAAGGGAACTCTATTTTCTTTCCATTGTTCCATGCTGGGCTCCCTAGCCTCCAGGCAGTCTAAGCTGACCTTCAGTGGCTGATAGAGGACTATTTTTTGGATTTAGCTGTGTGAGGACACTCAACTTCAGTCTACACTGAGTTGGTCTTTATAAATTGCCTAGAGCGTGATTTGGATTTACACTGAAAAGAAAGTGGAATGGGACTAAAAGCATTAGTTTTTACCTTTAGTGACATCAGTTAACTGTGACCTTAAAGAAGCATCATTTACATTTTGTCTACAAAGAACAAAGTAAATTGGATATTGGTAGGATATCTGCTTAATGTGATCAATGGGAATAGCTAAAAAGGGGCTGCTGGGAATCAAGAATGAGGAGAGGTAGATTAAAGGTGGATAAACCAAAGAAAAATTGTTCAAAACAGTTAGGCCCAAAACACTTCTTACAAATCTGCTTTAAAATGTAAGTAATTCAATAAAAATAAGTCATCATTTGAATATAACTTGAATTTCTGCATTGGCTGCCTAAATGATACAAATAGTATATTAATGCATGAGATGATTACAATTTGTTGTATAGAATGCTATCTTAATTCTCTGGTTGTTTTATATGAAAACAATGCAGTTTCTCTATTTTGTATGCTCTTTAGAGAGAAACCAGAGTTTATATTTTTCTTGCCTCCTATATTCAATTTTGTTTAATCCTTTGCATATAGTATAGATACTATATTTTGATTGTTAACAGTAATTTTAGAAGTTAGTTGCAAGAGTCCAAGTAAGATCCGATGAAAAGCTTTACCAACATGGAAGTAGTGCGAATGGTAAAGAAAAAGCACACATTAGATGTTAAGAAGACAAATTCTCTGTGGCTTAGTGACATTGGATCTGGAAACTGAATGAAGAGCAAGAAGGTGTAATATCC